ATTTTTGTAGTCCGAACCCAGCAAAGAGCGCTCGGTGAAGGTCAGCTAGTGATCAAATTTACCAACAGGGCTGCCAAACATACATAGCTATGAAGTGCTATATTGAGGATAAAAAAGTGCTAAAACGTGCCAAATAGAAAATTAAAAGTGCCAAAAAAGGTGTCATTCTCTTTAGTTCTTCCCATTAGCATTAAAATTAGACAAATTAAAACAAAAGCCCAATATCAAAGTAAGATAAACCAGTTGTATACACTATAGAAATTAGAAAATTTTAGTTGAGAAAAAGAAGTACACGCAAAGGATTTCACAAAAATTTATTTAAATTTGGCTTTTTTTCAAAAGTGCCATTTTGGCACTTTGTGCAAAATTGAAAAATTCAGTGTCATTTCATGTAAAATAGTGCCAAAAATGGCACGGTTTGAGCCAAGTTGGCAGCCCTGATCGCCAACTTTTTATTTAAAAAAGCACCAAAATACTGAACATAGCGCAATTATTTTCATGCAATTGCTTACTTTTGTACAAATGCGCACACCCAGCTAATTAGCAGAATATTCTATGGATTCCGTGATAGAGACTGTGTGAAAATATTGCGTTTGGATTATCTTGGAGCATATTATCCAGAGGAGAAGCTCGGCCAAACACTAACATATGTGTAAGTCAAATACAATGTCACCATAAAATCACGTTTTTATTATAAAATTGCCTTGAAAAGGGCACCAAAGAACAAAACAAGCGCTAAACTAAACAATTTTCGCCTTTCAATTCCCTAAACGCACTTAATTTCTTGCGAAAGGCACAAAGTTGGCAACAGTTATGTCGATGTCAAATTTGCTCATATACAAGCATGGACAGAGAGTGAGCGCCTGCTTAAAGAGCGTAAGCATCACATGTGGGGTGTTCACAGTTCGTTCCAAATAGTGTCCCAAAATGTAGACGTCTACATTTTAAGACGTTTTCTAACCGTAAAATCTGTGGTGTTGTTGTTTCCCATACAAAATTGGAAAACGACGCCGTCTACATTTTGTCACACTCAAAGGTATGTTTTTTACGCGTCTACATTTTGCAACCTCGCAGCAGGGTTGCATTATGGCAATACTAATCGCATTTTTTTTATTTATTGGGCACGTTTTCTATATTTGCATTTAATTTGAGCGCAATTTCTGATGAAAAGAAATAAGTCAAGGAAAAGAAATAACAAATATTAGGAATTGGTAATTAAGTTAAATAATTACAATTTTTCAGAAACAAAATCGAAAGGCGACATATAAAAAAGCACGCAAAGAAGAAATGTCTGGCAACACCAGCAAAGTTTTGAGACGATTTTGCGACGACTGCTAGAAAGGGGTGCTCACAGTTTGATGCTAAAGATGTCTCAAAATGTAGACGTCTACATTTTCAGACACATTTGGAACGAACTGTGAACACCCCAATTCAAACACAAATCACAGATACAAAGATTGCGCAATGGTGTGTTCAAATTTGCTTCGTTCTGCGCATCTACGTCACAGTTGACTAGTGAGCGAACAGCTGATTTTTTGCTTTATAGTTTTCCTTGTGTTCGTAAGAAACATTGACAACATTCCCTGCAAAAAATGGGACTAATCCGGGATGACTCCGGGAGCAATCGCAAAGGAGCATGCGACTTATACCACTTTTGATCTCTTTATATGAAATGAACTGATCGCTTTTGTTCGGGCATGTCCTATGAAGAGACTAATTGTTCACATTTATACCCGAAAGGGTATAAAAAGCGACTAGTCACTTTTAAAAAATAAAAATAAAAATTTTCGCCAGCTGAGATTCGAACCGGGGTGCTCAGTTTTGTTAGGCGAATACTCTCTCTGTGTGCCAACGCCGCACATGAAATTTAATTGACTAAGAGCGTACATATCATTAAATCGTTAATAGTACCCGTTAGAGATGAGTTGGGGACTAATTGATCTCCAATTATACCCACAAGGGATGAGTCGAGACTAATTGACCTCCATTAGTACCCGTATGAGACTAGTTGCGACTAATTCATGCCTAATTGTACCCGATTGAGAGTAATCTCGGAATACTCTCTTTAGAGATTAGTCGCACAATTTTTTGTAGGGTTTAAATGGAAAATGTTAATAATTGTGTCAATACCCTGCAAAAAATGGGGCTAATCCAGGATGACTCCGGGAGCAATCGCAAAGGAGCATGCGACTAATACCACTTTTGATCTCTTTACATGGAATGAACTGTTCGCTTTTGTTCGAGCATGTCCTATGAAGAGACTAATTGTTCACCTTTATACCCAAACGGGTTTAAAAAGCGACTAGTCACTTTTAAAAAATAAAAATAAAAATTTGCGCCAGCTGAGATTCGAACCGGGGTGCTCAGTTTTGTCAGGCGAATACTCTCTCTGTGTGCCAACGCCGCACATGAAATTTCATTGACGAAGTGCGTACTAAATCGTTAATAGTACCCGTTAGAGATGAGTTGGGGACAACTGATCTCCAATTATACCCATAAGGGATGAGTCGAGACTAACTGATCTCCAATAGTACCCGTATGAGACTAGTTGCGACTAATTAATGCCGAATTGTACCCGATTGAGAGTAATCTCGGAATACTCTCTTTAGAGATTAGTCGCACAATTTTTTGCAGGGTAGCTTTTAAAATTGGATTTATTACCCTAGATAAAGGTGGTGAAGCTCGTCTTAAGTTCACAAAGTGCTAATGAATGTTTTCAACTGTTTTTGAGAGCGATTTTCTGTGTAGAAACCGTCGCACTAGCAGCACAAGGAATTAGCAATGTAGAGGTATAGAGCAGTGTCCGCCAAAAAGAGAAGTCTTAAAATGAGAATGTACCCTGCAAAAAATGGGACTAATCCGGGATGACTTCGGGAGCAATCGCAAAGGAGCATGCGACTAATACCACTTTTGATCTCTTTATATGGAATGAACTGCTCGCTTTTGTTCGAGCATGTCCTATGAAGAGACTAATTGTTCACCTTTATACCCGAACGGGTATAAAAAGCGACTAGTTACTTTTAAAAAATAAAAATAAAAATTTGCGCCAGCTGAGATTCGAACCGGGGTGCTCAGTCTTGTTAGGCGAATACTCTCTCTGCGTGCCAACGCCGCACATGAAATTTCATTGACTAAGTACGTACATATCATTAAATCTTTAATAGTACCCGTTGGAGATGAGTTGGGGACTAAATGATCTCCAATTATACCCATAAGGGATGAGTCGAGACTAATTGGTCTCCATTAGTACCCGTATGAGACTAGTTGCGACTAATTAATGCCCAATTGTACCCGATTGAGAGTAATCTCGGAATACTCTCTTTAGAGATTAGTCGCACAATTTTTTGCAGGGTATTAGTTATGAAATAAAAAATGAGAATGTGTTGGTGGTAATGCACGGAAATGCGTCATCAACCTGGGCTCGAATCGTCACATACGATATCGTACTACTCGTCACGTAAAAACACATTTTTCGGATTATTACATATGTGAACGTGACCTTGATATCGTAATTCGTTATGATATCATCCGTCAACGAGTAACGAACGTACTCGTTGGTTCGAAATGTCATTCGAACACCAACAAGCAATCGTAAACGATCGAATTTAAGAAAAAATGTAAGTAAATTGTAAAAATATATATTTAAATATGATTTTTAACTAATATTATTGATATAGGACTAACTGCAATAAATTAAACCTCACCCAGAAGGAAATTATGGCGGATTTCATGGCAAAGCACCCCAGTTTAGCGAAAAATAATCTCCCGAATTCCGCGCAAGGCAGAGTCTCGTCCAACAGACTCTGGGAGGAGCTTTCGAGGCGATTAAATGCGGAAGGGCCACCAGTTAAGGATGCTAAGATGTGGAGGAAAGTAAGTACAGATATGATTATAATATTTTTTCGAAAACAAATCATTAATGTTGGCCACGTTCCAGGCTTTCGCAGATCAAAAGTATCAGGCAAAAAAGAAACTTTCTTTCAACAAGTCGTCCAAGCAGCGGACTGGTGGGGGACCCTACCAAGAAAAGGTCATCACTGCCGCTGAAGAAATGATTATTGAGGCAGCTGGCCTTGAAGTGTGTGTAGAAGGCAACAAAAGCGTACCAGCGTTCGGCAGTATTCCGGCTACACAGGCCTCTACAAATTCCAGTGGCAGTAATGTGAGTAGCGACGAAGAATCCCTCAGCTCTTTGCCTGGTCCATCAACGGCTGTTTACACTCCCAGGGGTAGGAAAACCCCTCAATCCAAAACTCCGCGGAAAAAAAGTGGGAGCGATGAAAAGTTGGCGCTGCTCCAAGAAAATGTGAAATCCGTGTCCGACTTTCATAGAAATCTAGACACAAAGGTGGACAAATTGTTGGAAACTCAAGAGAAGTTACTGCTGGTGCAAGAACGAATGTTAGAGATAAAAGAGGAGAAGCATCGTAGCCAACAAGAGGCGCGCGAAATAGATTTACAAATTAAAAGGTTGGAGCTGGAAACCTTATAAATTAATTTAAGAAAAAGTAACTGAAAATTTGTATTTTAGTTTTAAGAAATATTCCATGGATTAATTTTTAATTTATTAGGTTTTTATGAAATGATTTATTTTTATACACACAGTATTTAAGGTTTTATGGCTAATACTATTGCCACTTATGTGCCTATTGTTAAGTGCCTATTTATTAACATTAATATAAATGAAAAAGTACTGAATTTAAATGACTAAAGTACCTGAAGATTTGTATTTTAGTTTTAAGAAATATTCCCTGGATTAATTTTTAATTTATTAGGTTTTTATGAAATGATTTATTTTTATACACACAGTATTTAAAGTTTTATGGTTAATACTTATGCCACTTATGTGCCTATTGTTAAGTGCCTATTTATTAACATTAATATAAATGAAAAAGTACTGAATTTAAATGAATAAAATAGTTCGCTTTATTTGAACAAAAGGAATTTCATTTTTCTTATCAGCTATTTAAAATATTATTTATAGACATTCTAATACTTTCTTACGTTACTCTTAAAATTGAATGTTTTATTTGATCTCTTATTGTTTGGCCAATAGCGGTTAGTTGATTTGTTTCCCCTGTATCAATTTCCGATATGGGGTCGGAGTAATAATTTGGAGGATCATAAGGTATCTTAAACTTAATGCAAATGTTGTGTAACGCTGCAGACACATTAGCAAATCGTGCCACTTTTATAGGGTGATATCTTCCCCTTTTTCCGTATCCTAAAATCCTCCAGCGTCTTTTTAGAATGCCAATTGTTCGCTCAATAATACACCTTGCTTTGGAGTGAATATCGTTAAACATCTGCTCACTTGAACCATCCGATGTGTTTCTGTATGGCGTTATACACCACGGTTCAAGTGGGTAGCCAGAATCTCCTGTTGAATTGTTAATTAATTACTATTACAAAAATACAAAAACTTTACCAAGATATCCACCTAAAAGCCATGAATTTCCCTGCCTGTTTTGTTGAAAACCTTCCTCTAAAGCCCTTCTCTGGTCGGAATGTTTCCAAATGAAGGAATCATGAGCTGCACCACCGTATTGGCAGTTGATTGCTAAAATTTTACATGTGTGATCACATATCTGACAAAAAAGATTTGTATCATATTCGTTTTAACAAGAAACATAATCAACTTACTATCATAGCGTTGATACTATGGTACCCCTTACGATTAAAGTACATGTGTTCGTCCGCAGTAGGTTTTTGTAAACCAATATGAGTACCATCTACGCAGCCAATGACTAAAAATTAAGATATTATAGTTAGTAACTTCACAAACTAAAAAAAGGTTTCATTTACCTCCAGGTATTTTATATTTCTCCACAAACCAATCTTTGCAGCTGAACGAATCATGCGGTGCGAAGCGTATGAATTCTGGGCACATCTTCCTTTCCATTTCTAAGACAACACGTGATACAACTTTCGACACAGTGCTCTGACACATGCCTACTAAATAATCACTGCCAATGTTGTGTTGGTAGCCACCGCTAGCAAGAAGTGATAGGGTGCCTGCCAATTGAAGGATTGGAGGCACCGTTTTGGCATCCGATTGCCTTAAATTTAATTTCTCCAGAACATAAGTAAACGCTTCTTTGGTCAAACGGAATCGTTTCAAGAATCTGCAACGAACTCTTTGTTAAAAAGCTGGGAAAGTATATAAATTATATGCTTACGCTGTGTTCGGTAAGGTTAATGGATTGCTCCGATCTCTCAGCTGCCTTCGTATCACTTTTTCATCTCCTTCGCTTTCGCTGGAGCTCAAATAAAAAAGCAAAGTCGGATCCATATTTAAATTTTCGTTTAACTTACATTTAATTTTTCAATGTTTTGACAGTTCCACAACTATTGTGACTTAAAAATACGATCCAAAGCATAGTGGAACTTAAAAACTATTGTGAACTAAAAATAAATTACGTTCCGTTCGCTTTCGTATGTAATAATGCCATTTCGCTTATACGACTGACGTATCACGTAATTTTCTTCCGTATCGTTTTCGATCCGTGCACGGATGTTACGATTCGAGCCCTGCTTCGCCTATTGTTTGCATGCAACTAAATAAAATTTGTTGCTCTGCTACTCTTTCTGTTGACGTTCGGATTGTGTACGTGTAAGAAGCCGATTGTGTACATGTGAAAGGCCGAATATAGTTCGTTTCCCAGGAAAGTGTTTGGCGGTCACTGGTATAGAGTCATCAGGATAATCGTGGTATAATAAGTGGAGCGTGGAAAACATGGGTACGTTTGTAATATACATGTCGGGTTCTCCATAACTTTCGTTTATCGTTTACGCGTATATGCAGCGATTCGCTAGTGGCTACACTCTTTTCAACCAACGTTCACCTTTTGTTTCAAAAAAAACCAACTGTATCGTCAAAACTCATTTTCCTGCATTCTAATCAAAAGCAAACTTTTTATATTTGGCTTCGCGTAGCCTACCAAGTTTTATTCTTTCAGCAAGTGTTTTCTTAAACAAGTGTTTTTCTAAACAAGTGTTTTTCTAAACAAGTGTACCACCTTTGTTTCGCTCAAGCAATACATCATTGCTTGGCATATACACACATCATATCTCCGACACGGTCATTCTGACAAGTCACACGTCCTCGTGTGATTCACGTACTCGACCAATCCTGACCCAACAAAGCAATTCATCCGATATTACCATTTTTTTATTTTTTTATTAATTCACAAACAGGTTTATTTAATTCTATGGTCACAAAAATGATATGAAACTAAGTTTATGCATTGAAAGTATGGATTCATTAAATCAATTTAACTCAAAACTGAATACATGTGTCCTCTTCAACGTACATACTACTTCCCACGGCCATCCTGGCCTACCACACGTCCTCGTGTGGTACTCTTCACATTCTCTAATCGCTTCCATCCAGCTTTTAATCAACATCGTTCTAAAACTTAACCAGCGTTAGAACATTTTACAAATCATACCTTAAATGCTTCCATCCCAACACTTAGCCAGCGTTAGAGAACTCGTTTTCAACTCCACATCTATTAACAACTTCCATCCAGTGTTAATGCTTATATTACACTTGTAATATTCAATTTGTTCAATAACAATGTGACAACATGCATTCAGACTCAACTTAAAAAAAGGTAAATTATTAGGCTAAAATTTAGTATAAAAAACATTCTTTACTCAGCATTAACCACATTTAAATCAACTTCACCTTCAGGCATTTTGCGTAACCGGTCATGAGCGTATTTATAAGTTCTTTTGGAGCTAGTATTCGAAATTACATATCTTTCACCATCTAAAATTTCAATAATTTTAAATGGTCCTTTATATTTAGGGTCTAGTTTTGTTTGATTTCGTTCCTCATTCTGAAGCAAAACGAAGTCACCAAGAGCAAACTTGTAAATTTTAGCTTTACTTTGATCAAATTTAGTTTTGTTATATTTAGCACTCTTTTCAATATTGGCTTTGGCCGCTTGTCTCAATGCATCAATATCAACGTTTTGCTCAGTCTCATCAAAAATCAACTCAAGAGGACTAGATTTTGTGACACGATTAACGGTGCAATTCAAAGCTAACTGTACATCAAGGAGTGCATCTTGCCATGAACTCTCCTTACTAGTTTCAACAGCCGTAAGCATATTCTTTAACGTACTCATTACGCGTTCAACTTGTCCATTGGACCTTGAACTACCTGTTGCTATTAAATGAAGGTTAATTCCATGCATTTTACAAAATTCACGGAACTCGGAACTAGCAAAACATCTTCCCTGATCCGCTATGATACGAACAGGAGCACCAAATAATGAAACAGAATATTTCACGGCACGAATACTACTGGCAGTATCGATGTGCGAAGTGTGGTACAAAGTCACAAACTTCGTGAATGCATCAACCAATACAAACACATACTCTTTCTTATCATTTTTTCCACTAAGCTTGCCTGTGGCATCTATATGTACTGTATGCCAAGGTATTGGAACTTTTGGTATAGGGTGAAGCTCAGCTTGTAACTTTCCCGGGTGTGACTTAGAAATCTTGCATGTAATGCAACTGTCAATAAATTTTTTTGTAAATTTTGTCATATTTTCAAACCAATATATTTCGTACAATTTTTCAAGCGTTTTTTCCCATCCCAGATGTATCAATGATTTATGTGTTGTGTTTACCAAAGACCACCTCAGTGCTCTAGGAAGTATGGGTAAACATCTGGTCTTACCGTAGCGTTGTATTTTACGGTGCAATATCCCAAAACGAAACTCATAAGTTTTACATAAATCATTGTTAACTTTTTCTTCCTTAAGGTCGGTTACCAATTTCACAATCTCAGGATCGCGTTGCTGTTCAGCCAACAACCAGTCTTTGGTAAATTCTGCAAAGTTTACCTCTTTTTGTTGTATCTTCGGAGGATTCGATACGGGCTTAGGAGGCAGTGGATTTCTCGAAAAGAAATCTACATGACACATTCGATTTCCGTTTCTATGAATAATGTCAAAGTCAAACGCTTGTAGAAAAGCCCACCACCTATGTACTCTAGGAGTCAAATCTAACTTAGTGCGAGAAGACTTAAGCGAATTGCAGTCTGTTACTACAGTAAACTTTCGCCCGTGCAGATAATGCCTGAAATGTTTTATTGCATTAACAACTGCAAGAGTTTCTAACTCATAAGAATGGTATCTCGATTCTGCGGCAGTCGTACTTTTACTGAAATATGCAACCACATAAAGCTTGTCATCGTTTTTTTTGCATGAGGACTGCACCATACCCTATCGAGCTTGCATCAGTGTGCAACTCAATGGGAAAATTTGGGTCAAATATGGTTAGAACAGGAGTATTTGTAAGAACAGAGATCACCTTTTTTCTTATAGATTCATGGGAAGATTTCCAATCAAGATGTGTCTTAGTAATACTAGTCAAACTGTACAATGGCGCCATTATTTGTGAAAATTTTGGGATAAACTGTCGGAAATATGAGGCCAATCCTATAAATTGTCGCAACTGAGTAATAGATTGTGGAGAAGGTAAAGCTAATGCTTCAATTTTTCTCGGATTTGGCCTAATTTCCCCTTTACTTACTTCATATCCCAAATACTCAACTTTTTTCTTCATAAAGCAGCACTTCTTACTGTTAAGAGAAAAACCAGCCTTGACCAGCGTATTTAAGACATTTTCTATCCTTTCTAAACTTTCGCTTATGTCTTCATTTCCTAAAACCAAGATATCATCCATGTATACTACAACATAAGTATTAACAAGCTCTCCAAGAACTTTCATTACACTACGTTGGAACACTGCGGGAGCATTGCGTAATCCAAATGGCATAGCAAGGTACTCAAAATGACCCTCAGGTGTCACGAAAGCAGTCTTTTCAATTGAGTCAGAATGAACTGGTATTTGGTGATATCCCCTTGCCATATCTAAAGTAGTAAAATAGTGACAGCCATGCAGTCGATTAATCTGATCGGATATTAAAGGTAATGGAAATCTGTCCGGTACTGTGTTATCATTCAATTCCCGATAATCAACACACATTCGGTCCGATCCATCTTTTTTCTTGACCAGCAAAATAGGACTTGAAAATGGAGAACAACTAGGTCGAATTACATTTGTTTTTAACAATTCGTCAACTTTATTTCGAACGATTCTACGCTCTTCAGGGCTCATCCTGTAGTCGTCTGCGAACTGTCTTGTTTGGATCTATATTTGAAGAACTACAGGGAGTGCTTTCTGTGAATTTGTCTCTAAATTTATTCAAGATTTCTATCAACTTCGTTTTGTGCTCAACTGGAATGTCAGTATCAATGTCATCAAAGTCTAAGTCAACGTTTTTAATTTCGCAAACATTTACTTCAGCATTATCTATTTTGCAAAACTGTAAAGTTTTTAAAGTCATTTCCACACATATACTTTGTGTCAAAATTTCACAACCAATCATAATATTGTATTTAAAAAAATTATCAGGTAAAATATGAAAAAGAATTTGTAATTTTACGTTATCAATTTCTACAAACGTTAAAATTTGTAAGGAGCTCTTTACACTCGTTTGACCAATGCCAGTCATTGTGACGACATTATTGATTCGTTTGCCACAAAATTTGGAACTAATTGACTCTTTCATTAATGAGCATTCTGCTCCAGAGTCATAATAAAATTTATAAAGCTCACCTGACTGACGCAAACTACCTGAAGGAGTCTTCAATATGCATACATCTACACGTCGACCTGAGGACCCACTAGATTTACTACTCAGTTCTTTTCCTTTTGATATAGTAGGGCATCGTGACGCATAGTGACCAGATTCGCGACAGCGAAAGCAGATAACATTTGTTGCAATCGGAGTTAATAACTTCTTATCTAAAGGATTGTTGCTTGAAGAATTCTGCTGGGCTGATGTTTTAAAGTTGAGTCGACATGCTGAAGCCTTGTGGCCAATCTTACCGCAATTGTAGCATTTGATATAATCATAGACAACCTTTTGTCGCTTTCCGCCTCCTTCTTCATGTTCATTTCTAATTGGCGTAAATTTCCTCTTTAATAGTGGCATTGCTTTCAATTCCCGTGTTAACTGATTCCTCGTGGAAATATTGGTGGTAAATGCAAGACGGTGAATACGTGGCTCGAATTGGGCAATATGTGCTAACACAGTTGAAACAGCAATTTGTTCAGTTGTTAATTTTTCTAGTTTTAGACTCAGTGAAGTGACTAGCGCTGCTGCATACGACGCCAAACATTCGCCATCCTTTGGTTTGCTGCTCTGTATTTGAATCATAAATGCAGCCGGTGTCTCAGAAAAACTAAATCTAGCGATGAATAGCTCCTTGAAATCGTTCCAAGACATTTGTGGAAACGCTACTTGAGATAACCATGTAGCAGCTGGTCCCTTCAAGGCTTGAGTGAGCGATAACATCAATGCAGAACCTTGTAATGTGTGTCCTTCCATGACTATATCGGCCGTAGATATCCAGGCATGTGCGTTTGAATCTGCACCATCAGGATCAAACTTAGGTAACTGTATCCTGTCACTATTTGGAGCTTTAAGCGTTTTTATCAACTCCAAGAATTGTTTGTTTTGTTGTTCATACAACATTTTCCATTTTTCACTCTCACATTCACTATTAAGTAAGGCATTGGGCACATGCTCCACTTCTGATGTCGGGTTCTCCATAACTTTCGTTTATCGTTTACGCGTATATACAGCGATTCGCTAGTGGCTACACTCTTTTCAACCAACGTTCACCTTTTGTTTCAAAAAAACCAACTGTATCGTCAAAACTAATTTTCCTTCATTCTAATCAAAAGCCTACTTTTTATATTTGGCTTCGCGTAGCCTACCAAGTTTTATTCTTTCAGCAAGTGTTTTCTTAAACAAGTGTTTTTCTAAACAAGTGTACCACCTTTGTTTCGCTCAAGCAATACATCATTGCTTGGCATATACACACATCATATCTCCGACATACATATGTTAATCTTAGTATTACCAGTACGCACGTGTGTGCACTTTTGCAATTGTAGCTTCAGCAGCAGCCTAATAAGATATAATGCGATGAGAAGCCGAAGACTTTAGAGCCATTTCCAAATTCAGTTTGCAGCTTTATGTATATACGTAGCCATTATTGTACATCATAGTTATGTCATCAATACGGGTGGACGTAGCTGGAGTGGCCACTTCGATCAGCAGTTGCTGGGCGCTCCGTTCGGTACCATACATTTGATAAGGCGGAGAGAAATGTTTAGTTATTTGCGCAGCGATTTTGGTGTGGGGGCGGAGGGGGAGGCGGCGTTGCCACCCAAACACTTCCTAAACGAAAGGGATGGGCCGCCCTCTATGAAAAGTCACCCTCTCCCCTCAGCTCCCCTCAGCAGGGGGATACACAGTTTGAAACTCTTCCGGCATCTCCACATCACTAAGACTTATCAGGCAAGTGCATTCTTAATGACACAATTTCGAAAGTCAGCAAGTGCTAGTATTGTTTTTGTGTTTGTTTATTTTAATTCATATATACATATACGTCGCCTATTGCTATCAATTAATAACACTTTTGTCTTCTAATCTAGGTGGTTTCCTCGTCCACTGATATTTTCATGATTATGGAATAAGTATGCGAGTAAAATTTGACACCACCGACACTAAGTGCAATGCCGCAGTAGCCTCCCCCATGGAACTACACGATGGACTTTTCGAGGTGGGCGCCGCTCTGATTATACAGCCGGCACGTTTGATATGTAGCTTAGAAAATGCAGTGGTTTAAAAGTATTTAATGAGGATAAAATAGCATAGTAGTTGTACATTTACATTATTGTTGAGCTAGTCGGTAGGTGGCTATTTAGTTTAGTGCAGCTATTTATTTGTTTTGAATTGCGGTGAAAGTTTTTAATACAGTCATTCATATAATGTCGTTTTAGTGAAAGATCGCCCTATCTCGGAAACCGGTTAGAAAACACCCTAAATATCTCAGAATTTGGTTGAAGAACGGTTTGCTTAGATAGGGCGTTCTTCAACCAACTTCTGAGATAATTAGGGTGTTTTCGAACCGGTTGCCGAGATAGGGCGATCTTTCACTAAAACGACATTATATGAATGACTATTAAATCTGCATTAAATAGCGTTTTTTCATTGACATATCCCTGCCAGCCATTGGAAGAGAATTTTTATCGCCTATCGCCCGGATTTCACTAAGTAACTTCCGCAATAGAAAATGCTGGCAGGGATGTGAATAAAAAACAAAAAAAAATATATATGTAAGTGGCCCTATGAATGTGATTCAAACTCTGAATATAATTTATATATTGGAGAAACATTTGGTTTTATATTATAATTCTTATGTAGTTCACTAATGTTTCTCGAAGGTTAGAGAACTATGTTAGAATTCGATTAGAGAATGATTAGAAAAACACAAGACATTAGAATCCAATTAGTTTTCAACGTTAGAATACAATTAATTATCTAACCTTTTGGTCGATATCGAGAACTAAGTCTCCTTTTTGTAGAGTGCTATAATGAGTGTTATTTAATGAGTTTATTCAATCGTCTTATAACCTTCTACCTTAGTGAAACACATTAGAATTCAAATAGTTTTCTAATCATTCTCTAACCTAAATATCTGTTGGGAACTATCGGCCAGTCCTCGTATGCTTCAAGAATACCATGATAAAAATATTTATAAGGTATAACCGCTGAGAGCCAGCTTTAGAAATTCTGACGTTTGCTAGCATTTTGAAAATTTCTCTCGCCGTCATTTCATTTGTTGGTTTTCATTTTTACCTTTAAATATTTGTATCATGAAGAATACAATGCTGTAAATAAATGCCATGAGAAATTGTATATAATCAAAACAAGTGCCTTATCAATAAAAAATAGTTTAAGTTTGGGAATTCAAGTTACTGTTTTATTCAATTTACGCTTTTTACTGTATTGATTTTCTACAATAGACTTATTTAGTGATCGGATTCTGAAATACATTCTAGCTCTAAAAAACAGTTCTTTTACTTTTTGACTACAATTTACATGACTACTTAGGTCTAAGTGTTTCTTAAGATAATCTTTACATATATACAATTCACTGCCATTCACCTCATCAAAAACTGCTAGCAGTGCTTTCATATGCTCCATCAACATATCAGTTGGCTTTGAAAGTCCTCCTTCAGAAACATGATTCACCCAAGTATATGACGAATCAGTTTCTGGATTCATGCAGATTTCCGGATTATCTTTTCCAAGTTTGTGGCAGATGTATCCTGCCAAATTCTCCAAACCGTCGATGTTCAGGACTTCTAAATCTTCACTTTGCTCAGATACATCAGTGGAGTTCATCTCAACTGAGACCCGTTGAAACATGTTACCTAAGAATATATAAACATAAACATATGTATAGATAAACGAAATTACTTATTTTTTAATTCAATGTATCTCAGTTAACCTTTATGTTAATCTAAAGACTATATGTAGTTATTTCAACTGGAAACAGGATGCTAATATATATATTTTTAACTTCCTTCTTTTAGTATGAGATTTTTAACAACAATATTGTTTGTCAGTGCACACATCGTCGCTACCATGCCAAACTAAAAGTGTGGGATTCGACACTTTGTTAAAGACAGTATTCTCTGCTTCTAAGAAAATTAGAAATTCGACGATTTTCCAACTTACTTATTCTAAACGCTTGCGCAAGGTATCAAATAGAAAAAGCATTTTTGCACATTCGATAGTTTGACATGGTAGCGACGACCTATACAAAATAAGACAAGATATATTAGTATTTTGTAAGTTTATTTACCGGTTAGAGATAAATAATTCCCTTCTAAGTCTGGGGTGTCGTCGACCTCAACGTTCCCTCCTTCAGACAATACACCTTCGTTGTGCCCAAGTATGTATGACCGCAGCCTATATTTAAACTCTTGGCGGTCAGGGTGGTCGTGAAGCCCTCCTTTCGATCTAATAATGCCAAAAAATTTTTCCAAAACATCTTGATTTAGGCGATACGTCAATATGTAGTCGATTTTGTATTTATCCCGTAAATCAGACAAATGTAATTTCAACGCATTGTTACTTTGAAGGATACCTGAAAATAAAATATTATCGGCCTTATCGGGAATTCCATGTGAACAAATATTCCCAACATTTATAAAGCAAGACAAAAACAAATTTTTCTCAATTTGTTTTTGGTTTGCCTTATAAATTATAGGAACGATTTATTCACATGGGATTGGCGATAAGACTGAATATAATAAAACAAATAAGAAATACAATTAAATTAAAATTCAAACCAATAACCACTTTGGACAAAAACCTAAGTATTATAATGTAAGTCAATACATACATACACATATATACATATGTATATATACCTCTTTGGAATGGTAGCAGAGTATTTTTTCCAACAACTCTCATCGCTGAAACCATCGCGGTCATTTGTTCTAAAATATTATTCTGGGTATTTAAAGCCAAACCATAGGCATGTAGTCGCTCCCTTACTCCTTCTTTGGGCACTCTGACATTCATAATGTCAAACCAGTCATTCGTCTACAAAGTAAATGTTTTAAATGTGTATTTTTAAAAATTAAAATACTCGTTATTACTCACAATTTTAAAAAGTTTAAAGCATTCTTCCCAATTCTCGTCCTCTAATAAGCCCAAACTAGCTGCTCGTGATATGGCTTGAGCAATGGTGTGCGAGAATAATTTTGTAGCTAGTTTAACCTTTTGCCTTTCTGCTCCCGTAACAAGCAAATGCTTTTTTGAAATTTTGTGGGTGATTGACAGATCACTGGAAGTAAACGCAAGAAGTTTTTAAATTATGTCCTTTTTAATTACTTTTCCATTTATGAGGAATCCGTGATCAAAAAAATGATTCCTTTGCAGTTTGATTAAATGGGGAACATCAGCAAAAACTACAATTCTGTCCCCTTCATGTGAAAACCTGTAAAAGAAGAAACAAAAGTATTAATATGTATTTTCGGAATTTTAGAACTATGTCTAAATATACCAAGGCTTCTCCATATCCACCAAGAATAAAGAAAGAAAATAAAGATTGACATTAATTAGATAAAATGCTGGAATTTTAGATATGTACCTCTCAACATTGCAACTTGGACGTAATTAACAGGAGGTAATGTGGCATCAGATGATCTGTCGTAGCAGAAAGCCCTTCGCACTTTCATCTCATCAAAACTGACTACGCAAGTTTTTTGCGCTTGTGTTAACTCAGTTGCTGCCGTCAATAATTTCGTCACGGGCTCTATGATACCTGGAGATATATCAATTTTTTTCGACCACCATTGAAGAGTTCGAACAGCTGGTAAGGGAAAATTATTTCTTTTCAAAAGCTTATATGCTTTTGGACTCGCTGAATACAGCGTAATGGACTTGGCAATGTCCTCCTCACTCCAGTTCAACCGCTTGTTTCCACTTTTCAATTTTTCAATCTGCGAGTAAGAAACTATGTAGTATTGTGTGTAAAATTATTCATAGAGTAGCGGTACTTACCTGACCTTTAGTGAAAATGCAACCGAGCTTTTCTTCCAAATTTGCACGGTGAAATTCCGAAGTTTTAATACAAATCCTTAGGCGTTTTATCTCTGCCGACTGCTTAAGGTTATTTTTGTTCAAAGTTGAGATACTCTATAGTTTTTCTCTACAATGTTCATATAATCATGTACATTACTTAACATTGGTTTCAATTATCCAACTCACATTTTCACTTCCAATTGTTGAATTCTTTCCTCTTTCTCGTCAACGACTTCTTCCAGCATGGGTTGTAGTGCTTCTTCATCGTGCTCAGTACGCATTTCTTCAACAAAACTAACTGGATTGTTTAACAGGGTTGATACAAGTTGCTTCCTTGAGCGAGACTCAATTCTTTCCTGACGCTCATCAGTCTTCTTTGAGCCCGTTGATAAAATGGTCGGAAATGCACTGGTTAGCAGCTTTGTAGGATTTCTGGAGCATAAACCTAAAATAATATTTGATATGTTTTATAAAATAAAGTCACTACAATACCGTTTCTCTTCTTACCCATTTCAAACTGCAAATTCCTTTCGAAATCTCCTGGTGAAAAGTGAACTTCACATATGCACGCATTTTTTACATTGATTTTGTCTTCCCGACGACAGAAATGAATCCACTTTTTTGCGAGGACTTTGTCCTTAGGAAAATGGAAAAATCTCCATTTATTTTCACCTTTTTTATTATTGTTATTATCACAACCGTATACTGAGCAACGCATTTTAAGAAATTTTTCTTTTGAATAATACAACCGAAAAGCGCGGGCGAATTTCAGGTGTCAACCGTGACGTCATCAAAACAGCTGATTGCAAGCAGACATGCGCATTGCCTAATCTTTTTCTCTATCATTCTTGACATGCAAATACATGCGAGAGCGTAACAAAGCGAACGCAAATTCATTCAAACCCCAGCAAAAAATTGGACTAATCCGGGATGACTCCGGGAGCAATCGCAAAGGAGCATGCGACTAATACCACTTTTGATCTCTTTATATGGAATGAACTGTTCGCTTTTGTTCGAGCATGTCCTATGAAGAGACTAATTGTTCACCTTTATACCCGAATGGGTATAAAAAGCGATTAGTCACTTTCAAAAAATAAAAACAAAAATTTGTGCCAGCTGAGATTCGAACTGGGGTGCTCAGTTTTGTTAGGCGAATACTCTCTCTATGTGCTAACGCCGCACATGAAATTTCATTGACTAAGTGCGTACATATCATTAAATCGTTAATAGTACCCGTTAGAGATGAGTTGGTGACTAATGGATCTCCAATTATACCCATAAGGGATGTGTCGAGACTAATTGACCTCCATTAGTACCCGTATGAGACTAGTTGCGACTAATTAATGCCCAGTTGTACCCGATTGAGAGTAATCTCGGTATACTCTCTTTAGAGATTAGTCGCACAATTTTTTGCAGGGACGTAATTGGCACACTAACACAATCACGCTTTCAGCTCGCATTTACTTGTGGTAGTGATCACATCTGCTCATATACACTCCTCGTCATTTGAATGCACACCCTTTCAATTCTTAGTATTTACAGTTTTCTGTTTGTTTATTTAATATAATTTTTTTGTAAAAATATCGTCACTACATACGAATAAAGGCGCGCTGGTGTTTTGACGGTGACGGAGGGAGCCCCGATTTTTCAAATTCATTTATTTTTTATTGACAGTGCTGCGCATTTTATTCCATATAAAAGTTTTGTCGAGCATACTTTGTATGAGAGAAAATGCGCAGCACTATCACCAAAAAAATTGTCAAAAATCACCGCTATTTTACAGACACTTGAAACTTGCACTTTATTGTACCCCTTTGTTGACATTTTTTAACTCTGTATAAAGTTTTAAAATCGGATGTAATGGATATTAAATAAACAAAATTAAAAGTGTAAATACTAAAGATTAAAAAGTTGAGCTATTCAAATGACGAGGAGTGTATGTGGCGTACGTTTGGGAGAGTGAGCCTTTTTACTCCAGAATTCGTGTGCAGTGGCTCTCATTGCTATACGTGTATTAGTAAGATTTGTTGCCCCCTTCCCGTTTGCCCATGATTTTCCCCTGATCAGGCAAAAAAGCCCATACGGGCAAAAGGGCCCATGTCTGGTATAAAGGAAAGTCGAGATATTTGGACCAAGCTTATCTCAAAAACTACTGCACGGATTTAAACGAGATTTTTTAAGTATAATCTGTATCGATAGGAACAATATCCTATAGGGTTTCCACCTGTCTACAAAATGATTAGATCCGCACTGTTCGTTGGATTACAAGAAATGAGGTCTAAAATAAAAGGGCTCGGCTTATAGATGTTCAATAATGTATTGCTTTTTGAGTAGGGTTGCCACTGTTTAAAAAATTATAAGATCTTCACCGTTTGGTTGGACTGAAAACTGAGGTAACAAGTGAAAGAATATGGTCTCTGCATGTGCAATAAGTTTTTATTTTATGTTTGAGTGGGGTTGCCACGTATTTAAAAATTATGTATTTATAATACGCGAGGGAATTTTTTGTTACCGATATTAGATTTGCACAGTTCATTAAATTAAAAAAAAATTAGGTGTCAAAGGAAAAGGCTTGACCTTCCGATTTGCAGTAAGGTTTTATTTTTTGAGGAGGGTTGCAACCTGTTAGAAAAATTAAAAAATGTTGGCTGTTCGTTAGATTACAAGAAATGAGGTGTAAAATGAAAGGGCTTGGACTTCAAATGCGCAATTATATATTATTTTTAAGTAGGGTTGCAACCTGTTTAGTTGTCAATCGCATCTTATTTAATATCTACACACTCGCGCATACGAGACCGGCTAGTGTTTTCATAAAAAAAATAAGAAAAATTTGCTATGGAAAATATGAATAAATAAAATCGTCACAACGACAGGGTATTCATATTTTTGACGCTGAATGTATGTACATATGTATATAGATTATTGTGGAAGCTAACAACTGATTCCAGAATTTGTATTTTTTTAATCTTCATTGGATTACTCCAGATATGCAGCCGAGTATTTGACCAACCCGAAATTCGGTTCAGTTGGAAGATGGTTCTTAAAAATCAATACAAAAAATGCTGTTAGACAACGTGAGAAAGGACCGTTAAAAATCCGGCGGTCCATTGTCACACTTCTTCTTTATTTACTTCACAAATCGCATTAAGTGTCTAAATAAGAGTACAATTGAGAATGCATTATGAATTAAATCAATGCCAACGCTTAACAACACATAAATGTAATGTACATACTACATAGATACCGTTCATTTTAAGCAATAAAAAATTTTAGTCAATTACGGCTTTTTTGCGTTTCAGCGGCTATATGAGTTAGGGCCTTTCTATATTAAGGTAACGCTACATACATACATACATTGTACGCACATAGCCAACAACTGACATCATTGCATGCCATACCCTTTGAAAAGCGGATTTTAAGTGAAAAAAGCAACATTTTTAATGAAAAATTACAATTTTATTTGATTTTAATGCTGACACGCTTTGAATGTTGCAATGCAGCGAGACACAAAAATGGCAGTATACCAACCACAAACACAATGCAATCAACCACAAGCGTGCGTCCAGACTGAAGTCAACAATAATCATCATATCATCAGCAGCATCAACGAAAGAGGCAAGAGTAACATTGACAACAACCGAGAATAACAAGAAGAGTAACAAAAATTACAGAAATAACATTGAAGAGCAGCAGCAGCTTAATAAAATTACAACACTCAATGAAAAACACCAAGCGAGCTGTGTTACTGCCATCCCTAAATTGGCGCGTCAAGCGCCAAGCAACTGTCAAAAGATACATACGTTGAAGTAAATTGTAACCAGCTTTCAAAAATCAAAATCTAATAAACCATTTATTCGCAGATTTTGTGTACGATTCTGCTGTGCTGCGTCACTGCTCCTGCTCCTGCTACTGTGTGTTGCTCCGCCCGCGTTTTAGAGTGTTGCGTTCCGCTGC